GGATCACAGGGGTGGCTCTGCTGTCCCCGTGTCATATTTAGGGAAGTTATGGAGAAAAGTGACCGCTGCTTTCTCAGGCAGGACAGTAGCCAGAGGGGGAATCTCCTGGACTTCAGCTCTGCAGGGCTGCCGGCTCTCAGAGCACTCACCTTGTCTTGAAATCAGTTCCTTCTTAAACTGAATGATGAATTTTGGGTCTAAGGCAAATATTTAATTTAAGTCTCTTAAAACTTTGTCAACATACTTGACAGTGTTTTGGAGAAATAAAACTACCCAGTGATACGATGTCTCGTTTATATGTAAATTGTGAAGAAATTAAGGAAAGCAGAGGACTGCCATTACAAACATTACATAGATAATAAGTAGTTTGTGTACTTGCTTCCCTAAAATCTTTTTGCCATTTTTCAGCTGGGATTATAAAAAGAAACGAGTGTTTTGTATGTATAACTGCCTGGCCTGATCATCAGAGCACAGCGTGGCTTCAAAATCTGGTTCCTTTCGCATGCCTCAAAGCTGGGCAGCAAGAATCATCAGCCTTTTTTTTTTTTTTTTTTTTTTTTTTTTTTAATGTAAGCCTTTGATATTAAATATGTATTCAAACCTCCCACTGATACCAAGAAGAGCTACATGCATTTTCCAAGGTAAAAAGAAAGCTCTCAGCTACAGCATGCCCAATTGTTCTGGTTCTGAAATGAAACAGCTTTGCATGTTTAAAAAAAAAAAAAAATGTGGGGGAGATAATGGGGATGAAGAGATTGAAACAGATCAACACTTCCTCCTTGATGGGACTGGAAGGTGTGGCTGCAGTGGTGAGATGCTGGCATGTTCCACCCCAAAAAGATGACCCACAGAGCTGATGAGACATGGTGTCTGTGCCCAAGAGCTGTGAGGCTCAGAATAGCTCCTGAAATCTGCAGACAACAGATAACATGTGAAAGCACTACCTGCAGGGAATAATACCAGAAAACATGTTGGGTTTGTCAAGTGTCACCATCGATAGCTTTCCAGGGTATTCTGTCTGAGCAAAACAAACATTTCCAAGCTGTAGGAGTGGAAAACTAGTGAAAGATTCAGGTTATTGTGGAGGGCAATACCAGGCTGGGCTATTTTCATTCTCATCTTCAGATGAAATAAAGTAGAGGACAAGTCTTTGCCAATTTAACTTCATCATAATCCCATTCAGTTACTCTGAGTACATCTGGGAGGCTGAAGATCGCAGCCATCAGCGGGGTGACCTGGTGCCAAGAGTAATTGTCTCTTCGTATCTGGTTCCAAAGGCCAGAAAGGCCAGCAAGTCCGCTAAACGATCATTGCAGCATGCTGGCTCTGAAGTTAATTTTTGAGATTATAATCACACTAGGCAAATACCCAAAAACTGGGCATGGCTGTAACCTCACTATGCTGTTCTGGCACTGCCTCAAAATGTGGCTCATTACGGCAGGAGCTCGGTACAGCATGCACAGATGAGCCGTCCTGCCTTGGGTATACGAAAGAACCCATTATCTCTTAAAAAAGGGCATGCAGCCCAAGCTGCAATTGATCAGCTGAGTGACTACTGTCTCACCAATTAACTGTGTGCTGGTGCCAATCAATCTTTGGCAAAAAGTTGCCGGTTCATTTCAAGCGTTGCTAACACAGTGGACCATTTTAGAAAGGTGGGGATACACAAGCACAAGCAGAAGCCACTGATTTTTGTTGCAAGTGGCAAGTGAAACAAGAAAGGCAACATGCATCGTTAGTTCTGTTCCAGAGAGCAGGAGCAAGAAAACAAAGAAGATCCCATCTCATACCAGAGTATTTATAAACTGTAAATAAGGAGGAAGTGGTATTTTAATAAATGGTAAATAGATTTTATAAATGAAAAACAAAACAACAACAAAAACATATTTCTTCTTAGTCCTGAAGACCACAAACCACCCTGAAAGATGCAGTAAACATCAGAAAAGTGAAAAGCAATAGAGTGATGTAACTTTATAAATGTATACAGATAGCCATCACTGACTAACTATTTATTAAAACACCACTTCACCTCTGATTAATATATTATAATATATTATAAACTATTTATAACACTGGTGCTGTGTAATCCATGATGATTTGCAAATATTTATCTATTTGTTTTAAGAGTTCTCATCATTTTAACCTTGTATGTGCTATCCATAGATACAACGCTACCAAAGCAGATGGCCAAAACAAAAATAAAAGTTAAAGATTTTGAGAGCAAGTAACAAACATTGTGTAGGTGAAGGATGGAGGGAAAGAAGAGCTTTACAGTGTCTTTCAGTAAAGTTGCCAGATGCAGTTAATGATGTTACAGATGCTCAGGTGCTGCAAAGCCCCATAAGGCAGTTATGGATTCAAACCCATCCCAAGTCACCTTTGGTCATGTTGGTGACTGCAGGGCAGACCCAAGACAAAGCACCAAAGATCTGCCTCTGTGTGAGGAGGAAGGTATCTTTCTCACAGATTTATTATTAACAACAGTCTGACTGAGTGTATGAAAATATGTATGAAACAAAACCTCCCCCATCCAAACAGTAGTCCCTACACGATGGAGAAAAACATAAAGGATCTAATATTTGCCTGGAGAACAAAAATATTCAGCTGTCACTCATGTGACGTCAGTCACTGGCTTTCTGCATAACTGAGCCTCGGTTTCATCCAATTGCCATCAATAACATTGACTTTGTTATGGAATACTGCTATTGCCTTTACTGATTAACTTATCCTGATAATATATGGGGGCCTTCCTATCCCAAAACTGCTAGCCTGATGCCTTCCTTCTGCTAGCCTGATGCCTTCCCTAGCCATAGAGTTTTTACCTTACCTTCTTGGTTTAACATTCAGGTATATGCTGTGTGTTCTGAAAATTGAGAGTCTGTTGTTACTTGCTTTTGCCATACACTTTTAGACTGCATAGACACCATTAATGATTTTAACTACCTTGGAAAGGCAACAGATATTTAACAATCCTGCACGAGTTAATGTGAGTAGCACTTTTCCGCTGAAGAGTGGTGTTTTTGTTGAGGACCTTTTTTTTTTTTAATGGAAGAGTTTTATGTGATGTTCTTTAGCACAGTCAAATTCTCTAACACAGAGGATTTATTTAATTATTTAACTTGATGTGGAAAAGTATTAAAGTACTAAATGAAGAATCAAGGGGAGACAATCCCCACCAGGATGCTGTGATAAAGTCTAAGCGTATTAATACTGGATGTCTTATTTTTCCCCAATACCATGAGAGAATCCTATTGCACATTTTCTTTACATGAAGTTATAAAGAATAGAAGAGAGAACAAAGTCTGCAGAATTACCAGCAGGATTCAATTGATCCAACTGGCATGATGAAGAGCCTCTTGTCAAGTCAATGCACGAGAAATCTTTCTGAGCTATTAGAGAATAAAATCCAAGTCAATTGGTGACCTGTAGTTTCAGCTCCCTGAGAGCAGTCAGGAAGACAAGACTGACTCGGAGTGTATGGAACCAAGCGTTTAAAGTATGAGATGGGTCCTGAGCATGTTAATGCACAGGGCCCTGTGGTCACAGGCCAAAGGTCCATCCTTGGCCTCCTCTGGAGCAAGAGTCACCGACACGGTGGTCACAGCAAGTCACCCCCGTCCAGTGACCCAGGTGCAGACTTCCATGAGCCACAGTTAAATTCCTCTGAAGACAACTAGGGAGTTATTCGTGTTTCTCATGTAATGAGAATCCCACTTAGGTATCATTTTATCTCAAGTGTTTAAGGGTTTTAGTGAGTCTTTAATAACAGGCAGCCTTTGAATGGGTCTCATAGGGAAGACTCAATTGCATTCCCCAGTACAGAGAGCAAATCCAAAGATCACCATACTGTTTAAAGCATTTGTAAAGCCCTAACACAAGGCTTTAAGTGGTTCTCAGGTGGTGGAGAAGGCTTTGGACAGAGCTTCAATTTCATCCCAAGGTAATTGTGGTGCTGGCTCTGCCATGGTGAGCCCTGCCCTCGCGGAGAGCAGCAGCACCAGTGAGGCCAGAGCCCCGCGGTACCAGGCACAGTACCATGCTTCCTCCCCACCCCATCTCTACTTTCATGCATCCCTTTTCTCTTCACATTTTTTTTTCCATTTAATTATATGTATTTTAAGGAAAACAAAGCACTAGAATAAATCCAATTACAGGGAGTTTATTGACTTGAACTTCATTCCCTGTAGACTCCTAACCCCCATCAGCTGATGAGCATGAGAACTGTTTCTCCCCGTTCTGAGACACTCTGACCCTGACTTGATTTAATTGGTCTCTTGCAATAATTGAGTACTTGCCAAGAGCCAATTTAAAGGTGCTACCATCTGATTTTTTCCCCCAATTGAAGGATTAACCCCATTAGCAATGAACCCTGTGCTGTACGTCCGTAACCTTATAAAGGAACATAATGCCGTCTCTCACTCCACCAGCGCATTTTTAATTCTGCAGAAAACACAAATTATTAGCAACCTCCTCCTCCTTTGGCACAGTTTGGACCTGTCACTTTGCTGGTTGGTCAAAAGCTGACGGTGATCCTAGATGGGGTCAGGCCAGTCTCTGAACTTCTGGAAACACCTGCAAACTCACTGTTTTTCACCCCTTTGAAAAAAACTCACTGAAATCACCTCACTGCTGCTGGCTGAGAGGCTGCAGAGTGGACTCAGCACCCTGTCCCCTCAGCCCAGCCCAGCCTAACAGGGAGCCTGTCACAAAATGGCGGCCAGCCCCCCCCATGGAGCCTGTCACAAAATGGCGCCCAGCCCCACATGGAGCTGGTCACAAAATGGCGCCCGGCCTCACCCGGAGCCTGTCCCCACATGGAACCCAGCCCTTCAGCATGTGGCTAACAGTGACTCCAGTCCTGCCTGCTCTCGTCCAATCAGCACCATCTATTCCCTGCTGACCAATCAGCTTACAGCAGTTGTCTCCATTCTGACCAATGGGTGGCCGCGGAAACGATCCCATCACACGTACAAGCTGTGCCTCAAGCTGAGCTCCTCTGGCCCCATCAGGTCCTGGCTGCAGGGAGGGAGCTGTTAGGGGTCCCAGCTGTGGGTTTTACCGTGCAAATTTTAAACATCCAAGTTAAATTGAATAAGCTCTAAGAAATAATAATTAGGAGAGTCTGAGATATTCCAATTTAGTAATGAAATGATGTTCTTTGTAGGTAGGTGCAGAGACACCTAAGGATGTCACCTTCAGTACGAAGCAGAAGGTAGATGTCTCTAGCAGCCTAAATTTGTACACTGTAAGGCCTTCCTCATCACTCATAATACCATCCAACATTTAAATAAAGTACCCCTCCTTTCTAATGACCCAGGAATGTGGTATAACTGCTGGCCCAATCCTGCGGGCAGGTGGGTTGATCGCAATTTAACAAGAAATCTGCCAGATTCGAGCCGGCAGAGGCTGCTGCCTTCTCCCTAGGCTGGAGTTGCACATGGCTGGAGCACGGCAGCTTGGTGCCAGTGGAAGCTGCCTCAGGAAAAGGCTGACAGAAGGAAAAGCCTCGTGTGAAAGGAGCGGGCAGGGCCCACTGGCTCCTGGGATGCAGGCAGAGCCCCGTGCTTTGCTGGCTCTCAGCTCCTCGGGCAAATTAGCAGTGTGTTAAATTAGCAGTGAGGAACCTGCCTCAGGTGGGGATCCCATCAGTTACCTGGTGGAGGAGATGTCTGCACAGAGGCAGCACGCAGGAGATGACACGGGAGCGCGCACCTGCTGTGCCATGCAAAACTCAGGGCCCCCAGGCTGCCTCGGGAGAGGTGCGTTTGCCAGAAGTGTGAAGATTCTGTTCTCAAAACCCAAGACTGTCCATTCAGCAAACTTATTCCAAAATTAAAATAAGCTCTTCTCACTTCTTGTTTGCCAGCAGAGCGCATGGGATTGCAGAGTGTGGTCAGACTGTCATCAGGAGCTTATAGGGGATTCTGCCACTTCCATTACGTTGAGGCTGAGCAGCTACCCTGCGTGTGAAAGTCTGCCAGGGTTGGGCTGAAATCCTGCCTCTGTTAAACTCGAAGGATTTTTGACATTGGTTTCAATGAGGCCACAGTTTTTACTTCTGGCCCTTTTGGTTATTGGAGCAAAACATAGTAGGAGCCCCTAACTACTACTGAGTGGAAAGAAAAAAATCATATATTGGTTTTGGCTCCAAAGTTCCAACATTCACTTGTGAATTTAAATTAGAAAATCTATTTGCCATATGTTCAATTCCAAGAGAACTACATCTCTGGAGAACCTGCTTCTTGGGTTGCTTTGGATGGAGGAGGACTGCTTACAAATTTCTTTGCTTTTCCCTCTTCTGTTTTACTTGTCACATTTACCATTAAACTAGCAGTGGCATTTCTGTGCCATCTGTTTTTTTTTTTTTTCTTTTTTTTTTTTGAGGGTTTGAGGAGCAGGAGGCAGAGGAGGTTGCATTTTTTTATGGGGCTGGAGGTCGAAAGATCCAGGGTGAAACAAGAGGTCTGTGTTTCTAGACCAGCAGTCAAGAAAGTGAAAAGGGGGAGCTTGCACTGAAATACTTTGCCAGGGGAGTCCAGGTTTTCAGGAGAGGTTTTAAGCCTTTTGTAAAAAGAAGGGGAAATCTCTGAAGGTCTGAAAGGTGGGTTGGTTCTGGCACAGCTAGACACAATCTCCCCAATGGCTGCTACAGCAGAAGCACAGTGGTAGACAGCCCAGGAACTGCAGATCTGGGGTTACTGTTTTATTCATCTCCCTAGAGGCCAAGAAATATTCAGACAAATGAGGCTGTCCATTTTAAGGATTGGAAGGAAGTCTGAAGTCCCTCTGGACCCGCAACCTCACATGTTTTAAGGTAAAGTTTAGTACGTTTATGAATGAGGCTACTGTGAAGGGAGAGAATTGGACTTGCAAGCGAGGAGATTTCCCCCTGCTCCTGTTGGATTCATTGCTTCTCGTTAGATTTTGGACAAGCTTGGGTGAGGCTATGGCCAATTAGGAGGAGTTCTCAGACTGAGAAACAATAAAATAGATTTTCTTGTGAACACTACATGTAAACAGTTTTTGACATTCATAATCTTATCACACAGTCTCTTGCAACATCTCACATTTCCCAGACAATTGTTTTTTTGTTAACTCAAACCAAACAGCTTAAAAATTCAGTCTGCCCTCGCTGACCTTGTGCAGCTGAGGAAAGAGGTCATGGCTGACATTGTCAGCTGCAGTGATTTCGGACAGTGTCGGCGTGTAGTGTAAGCAGAAATTTATACTTTTTAATTTGGTTAGAAGATGATGTTAAATGCCCAGAGAAAAAGCTAGATTGGAGCCTGGCCAATTAGTGCACATTCAAAGTGTCCTCAGCAGGGGCAGAGCTGGTGGCTGGCATCTGCCTGGTCAGACAAGGCCATGCACTGACACCCAGATCACCCCCAACTTCACTTCTAGGGTGACAGGAGATGACATATGAGTCATGAACAAGATCTTATATTGATCCTTTACAGGATGATAATTTATGTAAATTGCACTTAATGTACATAAATAGAACTGACATTTTCTCCTGGACTGTTTATCGCCAAAGTCTCTCACAGAAAGATCAGATTATGACTCTGCATAGCAAAAATGTTCCTTCTCTCAGCCCTACAGACCAGCTATTTGTTGGCTTGTCAGTGTGGGCAATTTAATTGCTAATTCCCAGGGCTAATATACAATATCCGGCTATTACACTGCATTGTATCTCACTTACTGAATAACATTACATGTGATTTATATTTAATTTCAACTCCGTTTCTAATTTTGCTGTGGCGGAGTTACATGACCAAACAGGGCTGTGGTCTGCTATGTTTGTATTGTGCTGAATAGCTTCTAGTTCATCCTTTGCCTCTGTCTGTGTCTCCCCAGCTCCCCTGTGCCTCTTGTGTCCTCACAGCTATCTCCAGGTAAATATTTGTTAATCAATGTTCTTTGTCTAAATGAGGCTTCTTACTCAACGGTTTCACAGCTAATTAAACCACATAACAACAACGAGGGGATTTAATCTTTTTCTACATATTGCTGTTTGGTTTCTGTAAAATGCTTCTTAAAGGGATGGACTTAGTGTGCTGAGGCTTAACCTGGTCTTAAGGAAAGGAGTTGTAAAATTACATGAGGCATGGCATTAACCAAGTTCTTTGGGACCAAAAGGGCTACACAGAGATTTAGAGGACCTGAGTTAATGCCTAGCTGTGCTACAGGCTTTCCTTTATGGCCTTGGTCAAGTCACTTGAACTATAAAATCCTGCAGCAATTTGGGAGTACTTTCAAAAGTGATGTCAGTGCCTGAGAGTTCACTGGAGTGTCATTGGAAATCAGTGGATTTGTTATCCTAAACTCTATTCCTTCACAGACTGAGCCAATTGCAATGGGAATTTAAATGCTGTCATCCAGATTTCTGTCTTCATCTCTGGACATAGGGATCTCTCTGTCCAAGTCATATGGGGGCTCGTCAGGAAAGCTAGGAGCAGTTCTCCACTTCACAGCTGTGCTGGCAGTGGGCAGGAAAGTCTATCTGTGGGATGCTCATCCAGGGTCTCCTGCTTGCCCATGGCCAGGATGAGAGAGGCAGAACTTCCCTCACAGCACCAAAAGGCCCAACTTTGGGTGAAATTTTGCAAGCTAGGCACTGTTGGCACAGGGGCTGGAGGGGATCTCTACTCTCAGAACAGGCAGCTCTGGGGCTTCAGCCTTTTAAGAGTTCTTTCAGGGTTCACAGTCTTTATGAAAATGGATATTTTCCTCTTATGTGGGCCCCTTTTAATTCATGTTGTTTCCAGTCCTCCATGTTAGGGAGAGTGTTTGTACTGGACTGGGCGGGAGCAGGGTAATTGCTGAAAAGGCTCCTGTAAGTATTAACAATAATAATGCGCTCTTTATAACCATGGTTAGTTTTAAAAGACATTTGACAAACAGTGGACTTGGAATGAAAGGCTTTTAAAGCCCCAGCCAAGCTATTTGCAATTAGAACGCAGTAATGTACATTCATTTTGTATGTAAGTTGAGCTCACAAAAATCTCCTTTTTTGTCCATTAACAAAACCACAGTATCCCCATGAACAAGTCCCCTTAATCTTCACGGTGCGTACTCTGTGATCTTATCCTTAGAAAAGCTGTGCAATGTCATGCAGCTCCAAGAGAAACAAAAGCAAAGTCCAAACCAAAATGGACTCTCTCCCAGAATAAATAGCACTGATTTGGGGGTGCCTCAATATTTGAGGGTTGTTGCAGCTTGAATGAAGTGTACAATGCATTTAGATCCCAGAAAAAGTGCAGAGAGCACAAATTCCTTCTGCTCCTGTGTACAAAAGAACAGAAGTCAGAAATAAAGGAGTAGAGCATGAGCACAGCAGCGACTCTGTTACCTCTCCTTGTCCTGAGTGTCAGCTCAAGTAGGCTCAAAAACACAGAGCAAGAGGTAGAGTGCACAGACAATAAATGTGACTGATAAGGCTTACTACCTTGCTGTTTTGCCTTTGTTTTACTGTCCTTATTACAGCATTGGTGATTTGTTCTGTCCTCAGAAGCATGGATGAAAGAGGCAACTGTCAGCCTGCTCCCCAAGCAAATCACCACAGAGAGCCCAGGGACCATATTTAAGCCATCTCTCTGGGCTGCCCCCACCAGCACAGTAAGCAGCAAGTCGAAAGGAGTCTTCCTGGGTTGTGGTGACCAGCCCCAGCTGTTCAAGCAGCTGTGTTACGTAAATCTATCCATAAATGCATCTGACAGCCTGCGCTCATTATTTCCCTGAAGAGGCTCTCCAAAGGTCCACTCCTCTGATGGTTAAAAACCTTCTAATTTACAGACTAAGTCTGTACCTGCTGGATCTTATGCGAACATTATCTTTTAAGTCCTCTTACACAAGGTTCACTGTGCATTCACCATGGCACAGGGAACAGTTATACTCTGCCTAACCTTTCCCTTTTCTTGACATTTCCAGTGCCTTTCTTCTCTTGAAAAACAGGCCATCCATACTCCCTGGCCATGCAGTAGCGCCTTTGAAGCACTGGAAGCAAATGTTCCAGTCCAACTGATTTTTCTGAATGGAGTCTTACTCATTTTCTGGTGGCTGGGCCACTCTGGAGGCTTAGAGCCAGTCACAGTGGAGCTCCAAGCAATAGAAAAAGGACCAGCTCTCAGCGGTTTAAATACAGTTCGTCCTTCTCTTTTAGACAAACTGTGTTGATTCCTTTTCATAAACTAAGATGCCTGGATCTAACCAAGTGGAGAGCTGCCCAAATAGGCTTTGGTCACAGTCATTTTATCCCCAACCCCAGGCTGACCTCCGAGTGTATACTTCCAGAGATCATTACTTCTGTACTAAGTAGCCAAGAACAGGTTGCAAAGAAGGCAGAGAAGAACCTGACTCATTCCCATCCCTAAGCAAAACATCTGTCTTGCTGTTGTCAAATGAAATCAAGTGCTTACTTTTGCACATTAAGAAATTTAAAGAAAAAGTCCTTGTGGGGAGGGCTGTCAGCTCCCTGAGGAAGTTATTAGGTTGGACTTACTCAAAAGATTTATAGGAAAAAGTGTTTTAGCTGCCTCCAGAGCATCATACTAGCCCTAGTGTTGTTCCAGTTATTTTATCTGACTGTCTTTACAGGTATTCTGGGTAATTTACCTGCACAGCCGGCCTCCGAATTGCTCTTTTGAACACAATTGCTGTTATTTGGGAAAGCACCACTCTCGAAAGCAATATTTCATCATTACTGTAAAACATCATCCCCACAATTATCGGAGAGAGTGTCTGTAGGAATCTTATGGGAAACGTGGTGACGCCTGAAGCCAGCCCCAAACCCCAAGCTCCATCTCATTAGTGCCTGGCTGTGGCATGCCACCGTCTTACCCCAGCACGAGAGGAATGAAAATTTGGCCTTTACACTGTCATGTGCACTGGCACGGGATTAGCTCTGATGGGTCTGGCTTCTTACAAGCAGACTGCTGTTGGAGGAAGAACACCACTTTATTTCCAGCAAAGCTATAAACAACGAGTACAACATGACAAGGAATTTCCCCTGCCTTACAGCTAGCTCCTACACTGCCTTCCCTCCAGCCCTTTTCTGACCAGCTGCTGGCTCCAGCACCCTGCAGAAGGCTTACCAGACTCACTGGGCATTTAAACCCATGTCTCAGATGATGCCCATGCAATCCCCCTGGCAGCTAAAGAGCCGCAGCTCTAGAGACATCATAAGAGAAAAAGCAGGGAAAGGTGATCTTCACTTACCCATGTGAATCACATTACACATCACATTTGTTCTGCAGATCTCCTTGCCATATGAAAGTAGTTAAAGCTGGTAAAATTTTAGAGGTGAAAGGTGTTTTCTTTGTGTTTAGCGGGGAGGTAGGTGTGTGGTGTTTTTTGAGGGTGGGTGGGAATCTTAGCTACAAAGAATTGTTTTCCTTTTGTAAATTGCAAGATAAAACAAATATTCATTTGTTGTAAGTCCCCTGGTCCTCTGGAAACAGTGAAGACAGAAAAGACCAGAAGCAGGGAAAGGCAATATCTAAAAAACAAATCAGAAAATGAGAAAATATCCATCAGAATGGAAATGTCTTACTTTAGGAGGAAAAAGAAATAACATTTAAAATTGGAAAATCACCTTGACAAATTTCAACCCTCCGTAGCTGCTGCCTGAGGAAGGAGTTTGCAGGAAATCCTTTGCTCACTGTTAGGTACATGCACAGAGATGTAAAATCAGTTAAATACTGTTACCCTTATCTGTTTGCTACCCAGAAGTGTTAGCTAAAAAAGGGCTTAATCTGCTTAGGCTCAGGGTTGACCTTCCATAAAATAAAGGTTTTTGGATGCAGAGATTTTGTTTCCAGATTTCTCCTCGTTTAATTTTACCAAATGACTTTACCAAATGGGAAGTGTGTACGATGATTTGGCCAAATGAGAAATCCAGGTAGCGACAGCTGTGCTGGTGTCCCCCATTATATAGCTGTAGGCGCACACAAAGCGGGGGAAGGAAGGTTATCGGCCTTATCAAGACATCACCGGCGAGGACAGCGATCACAGCAAAGCCTGAGTGACATTTTCTGCAGCTCCTGTACTTAAATGAGCCCAGGTACAGGTAGAGTAAAAGCACATAAGCGAAAGTAGCTCCAGCACAGATCTCGGCAGAGGGGAGCAGACAGGGTGGCTGACTGCCCAGGCAGGTGGCTTTCTTGCTAATTGTATGCCAAACTGTATAAATTGAAGGCATCCCAAGTCACTAAGAGCAGGATGAAATGTAAACCTTCCTGTGACATTTATTTGGAGGAGGGTATTGTTTTCCAGGGCTGCCTGGTTCATCTACTTCGTTTGGAGTGAACTGTGCTTCACCGTGTCGCCCTCGCAGTTAACAATTTGTGACAATTACTGTAATTATTCTGCTACAGCAGTAATGCCACTGCCCAAATATGTTCAAGGAATGGTTTTACTTGAATGAACAAGAATACCACGGACCTGCAAAAACATTTGTGGATATTGAATCATTTAATTTTCTGATTCTGTTAATTCACTGTATTGAAATACCGATAACCCTGCTCATTAGAGGAGCAGTAGAAAATTAGGAGACGAGTGATACCGTGCAAATGGAACAAAAGCTTGGCAGTCTCTCCGAAGGAATTCACTTGCAGAAGATGTGAACGTCTTCTCTGTGGTCAGAAAAGAACCAGCCTGGAGCAGAGCCGGGGCGGACACTGCCTGCTGCGTGCCCACCTCCGTGGCCAACTCCTGCGTTTCTTACCTCTGCAAAAGACCGAGTAAGTCAGTGCCTCAAATGAGGTGGAGGGGAAGTACTCTTAATAAGCAGGCTATTAAATTTGCCACCTTTATTTTTGTAGCACTCTTCCAGCCTTACCACGGCACTTTTCCATCTCTGAGGCCAGTCTGTGTAGCTCCTCTGCTGATGGATATTTGTTCTTGAGGTCGTGATCTTTTGGCCAGGATTTTACATGGAGCTCTTTTCTTCTATTCCACCTCTGTATTTTAACAAGAAGTAGTGGCATGAAAAGGAGAGAACAATACTGAATACTCCACTTAATAAATGGAAATGCAGCAAGGGCACTAAAGGACGTGACTACTTCGTAGCTTCCAAATTATGCTGCATGTGAAGCAGGGATATTATTCTGGATGGGTCCACTTGAGTTCTTGCCAAGGTCAGGACTGTGGCATTCTGATGAGGAAGTGGTTGCTTGAGTTGCTTCATCGACTATTTACTTCAGGTTTAATGACATTTCACTGTTATTTTTCCTTTGTATGTTCTTGAGTCATTTGCTATTTGTCACTCCATTTGCAGCTGTGGAGGTCATCCATGTAACTCTATGAAAAGCAACATATATCTAGACTTCTGTCAAGGCTGCACCATGTTTTGCTTCTTAATCTTAGTTAGTTACTTTGCACTTTTAAAATAATTATGTCTCACCTTCAGTGGTGAGTGCCCTCTGATTCTTACAAGCAGGGTCCCTTCTGGTCATGAGCTACAAACAAAAACAATTTTGTCAATAGGTTCTGTGAGGAGTCTGTCCTTCACAATATCCTAATCTTTTTGTATGTCTCCATTCCTCTCCTCTGCAAAATATTAAGCAATTATACAGTGGGTCCCACCTCCAGTCTTACACAAGGCTCTCGGTTCTATCTGGCATAGACTGCTTTCACAATAATAATTTTTGTAAAGTTAATGGTGTCGTCATTTGATTTTTGTCCTTAAATATCCAACTTTTCTCACAGTGGGGAGCAACATGATGTGGATCCCTGGATCCCTGCTGGCTGTTGGGCTTTCCCCAGCCCAGCAGTGACAAAGATGCCAGAGGGGCACCGCAGCAGCTGGGTGCTGGGGATGCAGAACAGGCTGTGCAAGAGTTAAAGCAGTGCGGTGACAAAGTGTGGAAATGTCTGCGGTGCCAATCTCACCACCCACGAGTTCTCCCTGTCCTTAATCACTGGGCTGCCTGACACTGGCTGAAGGTGTCTTGTGCTCCCTCTTGGAGTCCTTTTGTGGACTGAACAGCCAAATGAGAGACTTTATAGCCCTGTTTGTAGCAGATGCCTTTTAGAGACTTAGAGAAAAGGGGCTGGGAGGGACACTGAGACGTCTCTAGATGGCCCCAGGGCAGGATCAGCCATCCCTAGGGAGGAGCAGCATGATACAGAGAGCCCTGCGGTGACCCCGCAGTGCCTGGGGCAGCTTCTGTCACACCTCACCTTCCCCCTTGACAGCCGTAATTCCCACATTTTGGCCTAAATAATCCTCACACCAGATCCATCATTCCTCAGTCTGTGGCTGGGTGACAAGCAAAGCAGATCTGTCCCTTCCCCTCCTCAAGGAGAGGCACAGGGATTTTGTCCTGGGGGTCCTCAGGGACCAGCCCTACGCAGGCTGCTGCCAGCTTCACCTCTTTGCCCTGATAACAAAGCAGTGACATCTTGTCTTAGCTTGCAGTTTTCCTCTGTGACAGCAAACACAAGTTGGATTTTCCTTAGTAAAAACATTTTCATGTCTTTGTCAAGGGTGGACTCACTTCAGCAGAGTATTTATGATGCAAAGCCCAGGGCTGTGCAGGCAGCTCCTCTGCAGCTCCCTGGGACAGGGCAGGATGGCGATGCTCCATGCCCTGCGGGGCAAGCCAGGCACTGGGACTCACAGCCTTGGAATATTTATTTGTTTTCTACACAACTGGTGGAATATAAATGGGGTAAGAAGCAGGGCTGGCCACAGAACAACTCATTTATTGCTGAAGAAATCAGGACTTTCAAACTGATTTCATTCTGCTTTGAGTGAAACGAGAGCTCGGGATTTTCTGGAGAAAAAGAAACACTTCAAGACTTTCTCTGCCTCCAGCCCAGCAGCTGGGGCACATGGAGGCATGTAAAATTCCCAGGCTCAAATCTCAGGCTTTGAGTTAGAGCGAAGTCTTGAGCCCCTGCTTTCTTCAGCCTTTCCCTTCCACCACCTGGGAGCTGATGGACATCTGTGAGCTCTGTCCCATGAACAGCATCCCCTGCAGAAGATTCTCTGTCTTCCACATACTCTGTCCCAGCTGGGCCCAGCTCTGCTAGGAGTTATAGCCCTCCCTGGGGAGACCACTGAACTTGAGTGTCTTCATCCAGATCCCTCTTTATATTAGTTTTACCTAGTCTTTTCACTGCATTTTGTGAAACCCTTGGCCAGGTCACTCTTAAACCTTCATTTTCATGCCCCAAAATAGTTCAAGCTCCCCAGATCAAGAACTGGACAGGATTTTTTATTATTATTATTTTTTATTTTTCATGAAATGTTAGCTGCTGCGGTTTCCTTCCCTTTAGGAGAGTGCAATTTATTTAAGCCAAAATTGTTGATGGGAGCTGATTTGACAAATTTCTCAGTTCAAAACCATTTCCTTCAGGGGGAAGCATTGAAATTGTTGAAACAAGCACATCTATATTTTTAAAGCAAAAAATGTTTTCATTTAGGGGTCAAAATAAGTTGAAAATAAGTAGGACAAAAAAAAATGATATGACAAGAACATCTAAATCAAAATGAACCCCATTTTAACATCACTCAGACACAATGGTTTTATAGCCCCAAACTATTTACTTAACATTTTATTTTATTCTCAGACCATGAAAAACCACTAGTTTGGGTATTTGTCAGAATTGCAAGGGGATGTTTTTTAAGGGGTGCAGTTTGGAAAGCTCCTCATGTCACTAAAGTAATTTCTTCCCCTCTGGCGTTCAGAGCTTTACAGTTTGCAGACTCAGCTCTTCCCATCAGAAATGGGAGAAATCCCTCAGGGGTGCAGAGACCAAAGCCTCGGTGGGTGAGACAGCCTCCAGGAGAGGCCACACCAATGCGAGCAGGCAGCTTCAGGTCTCCCTCCTGTCCTGTGACTGCAATTACTTTGTAAGAGAACCCAAACTTACAGCCTCAGCTCATGATACTTTGACCGTGCATACAAAATGACCAAGTTTTTGCAGCAGTTTGGACCCTGCTGCTGTCACCTCTCCGCAACACCTCCCCAAGCCATGAGACCCACTGGTTCCACCATGGTCTTGAAGAGAAGGCAGGATGAGATGCCTTGGAGGTGGACATGGCATCTCGAAATGGCTGCATCTGAATCTGGGAAGGGCAATGAAAGCTGCTCTTGATTTCCCTTTTCAGGGAACAGAAGACATGCAGGCACAGGTCCTTAGTACAGGGAATAACAAAATGTAGCTGGAAGATTCGGTGCTGGCCGTTTACACCAGTTACAGGAGGTGCTTTCTTTCAGCATAGCTTGGAGTTAGCTGGGGCTGCTGGCTGATTAAAGTGAACCAGATGAGAAGATTTTTCTGATACTGAAATCACTTGGGAACAAGGACCATCAATTTATGTCTTAATAATGCTAACCTATGTTGAGTGCCTAATCCAAAAATTTATTGATTTCAATAAGGCTTGTAAGCCTTGATGAAATAATGTACTTTCCACCAAAATGTGTCTGTCTCTGAGCTGGACTATGACAGTACATCTGCCCCCCAATTACCTGCAGCACTCAGGCTTTCTCTAGATAAAAGAACCTATCTACTTTTTCACTTATCGTACCTCATTTCCAGGTTCCTGACGGTCCCTGAGAAAAGGAGGATGGTGATGCTGGGCAGGTGGCAAGGGAAAGAAAAAAGCTAATTTGGCATTATGGTCCAGGAGCCAATACTGTATTAATAATATGTGAATAAACTGAGCTTCTAAATATTACTTCAAGTGTTGCTTCACTTCAATTCAATAAGGTACAGTGCATTGACCTTCTTGAGGTTAATGGCTCTATGATTTACTAAGACAAAGCACATGCAAGGCCAAATTGATTCTTGTATTAATTATTCCTCTGTACAATATAAAATATAGTTTGATGCATTTTCCATGATATCTGGAAAGACTTTTCTGCTCATCGGGTTATAGATGTTCCAGGCAATAACACGAGTAACGCTCTTAGCTGGGAGAGTGCTGAGGGGCAAAGGCCCATTGCTTGAACTACATTCCTTATACACAAGCATTTCTTCCACTGCATCTGCAGAGCAAAGACCCCACTGAAAGAAGTACATTTCCCATGAAACTAGATGAAATCTTTCCTTCTGCTCTGCCTTACTTCCAGTGCAAAATCTTGGCAGTTGAGAGAAAGCTCAACACAATCCAATTTATGGAACCGATTGTGACAACTCACATGGGTCTGAGTTTTACCTCCCCAGAAATCTTTGGCAAAACATCTGCAGCTCCTCGTTAGCAGATGCAGATAGATCTCTGGATATTATCACCGACAGAGAGGCAGCACGAAGTGAGGGTGTGCCCAGTGCTGGCTGCAGGGATGCCTTCGCATCTCAGAGCCTTGTCAATACTGGTATCAATGACCTGGAAGGAAAGCTAAAATCATTGCTAATAAAGAATGCAGATGACTCAGATTGGGAGAGTGGCACATAATGAGGATGAGCCATAGATACGAGTGAGCTCGATCACTCAGCAAATCAGATGCAATCAAAGTACATCGTTTTTAATGCAGCTAAATATATAGGCATGGGTACCTAGATGAACATATGCATATACTCCTGAGAAATCAGTGTGGCTTGTAAATGCTCCGCATGGGTAAATTATGCATTTTGCAAGCATAAATACTTTATTGCTGCCAGACTGGTAGGCTAGTATAGCTTAGAGGAGAATTTATCCTGATGTGTTACCAACATAATAAAGACATTCAGCTGTCTGTGCAGAGCTCTCTTACACCATCTCCTGCTGCAGCCCAGTGAGCACCGGGGCTGAATTCTGACACAGGGAAGCTCTTTTTGTGTACAGGTCACATGAAGTTGTTACCATCACCTTGAGAAAGGTGGGCACTGAAGTTCCGGTTTTCCATTTTTTCCCCCCAGAAATTCAGTGCTTAGGACAATAGGATGGGTTGCAACTGGAGTTAAATCTTCATGCCTGTGCAGGGCACCTTAGCGGCACAATCCAGTGCAACTGTCCCTTTATAATCACCTCTTTATTCATCTTTATTCAAGATGAAGCCAGCCCCTAACTTTCATAAGAACTGAGGAGCATCTGCATTTGCAGAGTTCCTTGCAGCTGCCTTTCCTATCTGTGCCTCACTCTTCCCCAGCACTGTTATTCCCCTCTGTAATAGAAGTGGCTCTCTGGAGCAGTTGCTGTTGGTGCTGACAGCTTTCTGATTAATGGCAGAGACAGCTCAGTCTCCCCTTGTGTGCTGGGGAAGGCTGCACAGGGCTTTCCTCTCCCTCCTCTTGGCTCAGCCTTTACCTCTGTGGAAATCCATCCATCACAGCAGCCACCTGGCAGGTAAATTCAAAGCATTGCAAACTCCTGCCATCTGAGCTAAAAAAAAAAAAAAAAAAAAAAAAAAAAGATAACACCAGCTCAGCAAAAACAGTATTGTTGGATGTATGAAGATAAAATGCAGCAGGGTTTGTAGAGAGAGGCAGTATAATTTGTTAGGCCATGTACATGCTTGCATGGTGGCAAGTGGGACAAGCTTTTGGCCACACAAAGGTTTTGTTAGTCTAAAAGCAACCATCTGCCAAGCTGAACAAGGGTCGAGACTAACTGCTCTGAGGTCACAAGACGTTTATCTGTTAGACAATGTAAGAGTAAAGGGTGCTGGTACATGGAGATCATCTGAGGAGGGCAGGAATAAAGTCACAAAGCTTCTTTGAACAGAGGCCT